CTACGAGAATTTTTCGTTTTTATCCAAAATTATTTACAAAATATTTACAAAATATTTACGAAATATAAATTTGCGATTTTTTATGCGATTATAAATCACAATTTTATAAAATCTTTGACTGCGACAAAAATGATTCTTAATTGTATGAATCTTCTCACTTCTTCATTTTAATGAAGTTTGAATAGTTTCGATTGCATAAGCTTTACTTATTACTTTCAAGTATTATGTTTTGTTTTACAAGTATTTAAACATATCTGGAAGGTGAAGGACTGACTTTGTAAAGGTCACAAAGTTATTAATCTTTCTATTTAAACTCATTTAAACTTAGTTAAGTAATATTTTTTAATAATTATCTTAAAAAGTTACATTTAATTTCTTTTCTTTTAACTGTTTGCTACAATAAATTCAACTTTAGTTTACATTTTAACTTTTGAAAATAAAATACAAAAATAATTGAAAAGTGGTCATTTTTTATTTCTTTAAATTCATTTGCTACGAATTTTCAAAAATTTTTGTTAAGTTATTAAATAAGGCAAATATTCATTCCTATCATTTTTGCTATTATTTTTTTAAAATATGACAGCAATATATTTATTTTGTACATGTCATCATTCGTGCAAAAAATATGTTGCAATAATATTTGGTGTACTGAAATGTTTGATGTATTGAAATGAACTTTGAACTGATGAAGTGAATCTTATTTTCGCTTTAAAGATGAGAATGAATGCGCGGAAGCAAATATAACGAAGCACAGTGTTTGCTCAACCAAACAAGCTAAGCAGTACAAACTAGATCACAATGTTAGTCAGTTTTGTTGTTCTATGCTATATCTAAGATAATAAATTGAAAAAGTATTCAAAAATCTCATGTTTTGCGTAAGATTTGCGTAAGATTCACTTTATACAGTTGAAACTTTGCGTAAAAATAATCATTACCAATCTTTTTTTGAAATCATGCTGTCATCATGTTAATATGATAACGCCACAGTGATATATAGTGATACGAAAACTTAAAAATCAACAAATACCAATCAATTCGAAATGATTTCACGTTGAAATTACTAAATATTGACTATTTAGTCAAATGTATGAAATTATCCTTTTTTAAATTTGTTATCGATAAAAATTAGTAATTGTGTAGTTGCAGATTGTTTTTGGCAACTGCCAATTTAAAACAAACAGTCTGCAACATTTATTAAGTGATAATCCACAATCTTTTTAATTGTTTTTCAAATACACTTTTAATAATATTGATTAGTAGCAGTTTTTATTTTGCAGCAATCATCAGATCAATTAGATTTAGCAGTAATCGACGTGCAACCTCTGCCAACACGTTTGTCATCTGAAAATAGAAAAAACATTCCCGAAGGTGACTTTAGAAAAAATGTTACTTTGTTGTAAACTTGATATGAAATCAAATCATCAACTTTCAATAAACATTTCATTGTATATTTGTTATTTCAGATCTTAAAATCATAGAAGAAAATAATAAGCAATCAAAAAATGGATTCTCGTCATGCTGTACAGAATTAGGCAGTTGTTGCATATCTCTACTCAGTAACTGCTGATTAACTTTGAACAACTGTTGCTCAAGTCAAGTGACATTAGTATTAGTTACTGTTTATAAATAATAAAATAAGCTGATCAAGAATATTTACAATATGTAAAAATATTAAATTAACCAAAGTTTAAATAAATACAGCAAATTACTCTATCACATCCTAAAATACTTCTTAGCACTTGTCAAGTGAATAATTTTGGATTATTTGTTAAAATTAAAAAATTCTAATTTATGCACAAAAAATTAAAACTTGTATTATGTATGCGTACGTTTGTGTATATTTCACGTAAGTATTGTATTCAAACACGGCACGCTTTTTGTATTTTACAAGAAGAAAACGGGTATTGATTGATTGAGAGTTGAATAAATTTAGTCAATATTCGTTTTCATGCAAACATTATGACAAGAAGATTTTTGTATGCAACGATATTTAATGTATTTATCAATAATATTTTTTGTTTATTTTGAAGGGCGAAATTTGATGTTATTTTGTAGAGAAGCAATTTTGCTGACTGAAAACACAATTGATTATAAAAGGAAAGGGACGGAATTTAAACTGAAAAGGCTACTACTACTCACAAGTGTACAATAATGACAATATTACAACAGGTTACTTCTGCGTCTTCAGTTCAGCACTGTGACTCCTTGCCATTCTCAGTATCGATGCCATCAACTAAGGCATTCTGTAGCCCAAAATTCACTATTTGTGATGAACTTACCACTGACTTTTTATCAGAGTCATTTTCAGAAGTCGATACTTTCAAGTTGTGATGATCATTGTCATCTCTTACATCTAAAATTCTGTACTAAAAATTTTATGCGAAAATTTCACTTAACTTTTCACAATTATTAGCAACTATGCAAAATTTTAAAAAAATATGAGTTTTTATTTCAAATATTCTTTCGAGATGTACAATATTTTAGTCAACTCTTCACTTGACCTATACGAAGATGAACGCGGTAGATGTGTGTATTTTTTGATTAGAAGTGAATTATTTTAAAATAGACATAAATTTATATTTAATCAGCGAAAGTATCCACTTCTAATTGTTGATATAATTAGTATATATAAAGTGCCCTTTAAAGGCCTAACATCGGCCCTGTGGCCCAATGGATAAGGCGTCGGACTTCGGATCCGAAGATTGCAGGTTCGAGTCCTGCCAGGGTCGCAACGTTTTACACCCATCCATTCACAAATTAGAGATAATTATATTACCTACTTAATCACTAAACAAAAAGGAAACACCTATTATTGGCTCAGACAATGTTTGTTCCCAACAAACTGAAAGTTACCATAAATTTGTAATTAATTATTTAAACAGCAAAGAAGTCAGAGGTCATAGAATAAATCTAAAATGATTATTTCAAAAGAAAGAAACAATAGCTATGAAACGAATATTATTATGCAAATTTCTGTAAATTATTAATTTTCTAAACTTTACACAACTGACTGACTTCTTTACACTTTGCATAAATATTAATTATTCAGAAATAAAATGCCATTAACTATGATGACATCATTTCAGAGCATTAACACTGTATGCTATAGAGAATTTTCGGAATTTTAGGCTAAATTAACAAAATTTTTAAGAATTAATAACCTACTGAACAGAATGTAACGATGAGAGAGAAAGGAGGAAAGAGGAAAACGGAGACAATGGGGTGTTGAATAAGTCCGCCGGTCATTCATTCATTCACTCAATCAATCAATCAATCAATTAATTAATCACTCAGTCATTCAATCATTTCGATTCATTAATTCAATCGATTATGCAATCATTGATTCATTCAGTACTTGAATTGAATTTAATAATTAATTGGAGAAAAGAAAGCAAAAAATATTGTGTTTTATTTATTAAACTAAAAAATGAGGCTGTTTGGCAACAAATGAGTGACTGACTCTTCGCAATTTTCGCACTCACTGCATTTCTCAACAGAAATGCTTCTCACACATTTCAACTGAATGCACTGCACATTTATCATTCAATAATTACTTAATAACTACTATTAAGTCATTAATTTACTTAAGTAATTATCAAATTACTTAATAATTACTTAAGTAAATTAAAAATTAGTTATTCACTTATTCTGAATTTATAATTAAAATTACTGAAATAATCTTCGAAGAGTTCTTGTCATTTTTATAAATATTAAAACTACAAACTTACAGTATTCTATCATTAATTATAAATTTGAATAATTGTTGCATTCATGAAAATGAATTGGACTGAAATGATCATATTATTCATTAAGTCAATGCAGTGAGGGAGATATGCAAATCCTCATCTATGAATAGATTATAATTTAATCATAATGATGATAATAAATAATAATAATAACAATAATTAATAATAAGAATAATTTAAATTCGTAATAAAGTGTGTCATTAATTCATAATATTCTCACGCATTACTTCTACGTTTGCTTCTTATTGTCATTTGCAAGCAACACTTTAAAGTGAACTTAGCACTTTCGAACTGAAATCAAGCACTTAATTATGTTATCATTGCCTAGTTTTATGTATGCAATAATTTGTCCAGTATTTATCCAATTTATTTATTAATGCATTGCAATTCATTAACCAAAGTGGAAAGTCATAGCTGTAATCAACAAAAC